GATTTGTGACAGAGGCAGCCCCATGTAGAGAGCGTTGCAGTGGTCTAGCCTCGAGGTGACTGTCACATGGATCACTGTGGCCAGATCATCTCGGTCCAGGTAGGGGGCCAACTGCGGAGCCCGCCGAAGATAGAAAAAGGCGGACTTGACAGTGGCTGCCACCTGTGCCTCCATCGTTAGAGCGGCGTCCAGGTGTACTCCCAAGCTCCGAACCCCAGACGCAGGCACCAAAGGTACCCCATTGAAGGTCGGGAGAGGGAGCCCCAATCCTGTCCCGGCCCGACTCAGGCCCAGGACCTCCATCTTCGCCGGGTATAGTTTCAATCTACTCAGCCGAAGCCAACCAGCCACAGCTTCAAGTGCCCGATGCAGGTCATTGGGACTCGAGTCCGACCGGCCGCCCAACATCAGATAGAGCTGGGTGTCATCGGCATATTGATGACATCCCAGCCCATAACTCCGGATAATCTGGGCAAGGGGGCGCATATAAATGTTAAATAGCATCGGGGACAGCACTGCCCCCTGTGGTACCCCACACTCAAGGAGATACATACGGGAGCGCTGGTCCCTGAAAGCCACCCTTTGTCCCCGACCTTGCAGGAAAGAGGCAAAGCATTGAAGTGCAAGCCCCTGAATCCCCACGTCGGCAAGGCGATGGATCAGCAACTGGTGGTCGACAGTGTCAAACGCTGCCGACAGATCTAACAACACCAGTGCCGCCACACTGCCTCGCTCCAGATGTCTCCGGAGATCGTCAGTCAGGGCGACCAAGGCCATCTCGGTCCCGTGGCCTGGGCGGAAGCCGGACTGGAAGGGATCTAAGACTGAAGCATCTTCCAGAAAGCCCTGTAACGCCACCGCCCTCTCTATAAGTTTGCCCAAATAGGGCAAATTAGACACCGGCCACTTGGGGCACCAAAATGACTTGAGACAGCCCTGCCCTATAGCTAAGCAGGAGGAAATAAACACAGCTTCCCACCCTCTTATTTTCCCCTTCCCTCTGCCACCCCACCAGCCACAGCCGGGACACTCACCGGGAGCTTCCTTCTAGAGCTCATTGTATTTCTGCCCACAACGGGCCTTACTCCTAATAAGTTATAAAATCATTTTTCTCCTTGTGTAATTGCCATAATAAGCATCTGTTGGTGACGTTATTAGTGGAATTGTAGGACTGATTATCTTCCGTAGCATTTCCCAAATTTTAAATAAGCTATCTCTGATTATATACCTTTTATCTTGGGTTTTGTTTTTTTGATATAGATTTTTTAAACCCCAAAAGATATTGCAAAAATGCACAAAATCTACAAAGGGGTTTGCTGGAAATGTAAAAAAGAAGATGGCACCTTTTACCATATGTGGTGGACTTGCATCAAGACGAAAAGATACTGGAAAAATATAAATGAAGAAATTCAAAATATTTTAAAAACCAAATTTCCAAGGAAACCAGAGACTATATTACAGGGAACCCTACCAGATAGTATAGACAGAACCTCGCAAGACCTACTGAGATATATATTGACAGCAGCCAGAGCAATAGAAAGAGAAACTAGCTGAGTATGCAACGTCCGCAAAACTAACCAATTACATAAACAAAAGACAACTGAAAGAATTTCAGTAGAAACGGCAAGCTTATTACTCATCCTATGGGAATAATTAACTTTTTCTTTCTTTAGTTTTGGAATTATCTGATTATTATATTAAAGGTGATCGATTATGGTTTCAATACATTCCACTAGTATATTTAAATAATGTGGATTTAGATAAACAATTAATATTAAGGTTTTTACAACGATTTAATTTTAGCATAGAAGTTCGTTCAACTGTTCAAGATGTAATCTCTTTTATCATTATAAAAATACATCAAAATAAAAAAAATAATTAATTATCTCTAACTTTAGGAAAGTTCTTGTTTATTCTTTAAAGAGAGCATCTATGCCAAAATTCTGTAATATTGATGTTTTATTGTCTGCTTCTATATTTGAAATATGTTATACATCTGGTAATACATCAGATTTTACCTGTTGTAAAACCTGATGAATTTATTTCCCCCCCTACCCCTTCTTCCCATATGTATCCCACCTTTTTTTGAGAAAATAATAACAACAAATAAAATAAAAAAGATGTCTTGAATTGACTGCGGCTTGGGAAAAAAATGTATCTTGGTACATGTTTTAGAAGGTGTTCAAGTGACCAGATATTTATTCTGTATGCACAGGTATGGGTGGTTAGCTATACCTTTTTTCTATGTTTTACATAAAAATAAAATTAAAAATATAGACTGTCTCCTGGTGTTTTCTGGAAGAACTAGGAGCTGATGGTTTGTGGGTTTTTAAATAACTTTTATTACAAGGAAGTTATTATAAATAATTATTTTTATCAACATTTGTAAATTATGTCAAAGTATACATAGTTGAATGTTTAAAAATATATTCCTTAAAAATTATATATAATTAGAGAACTAGTAAGTAAGTAACAAGCAACAAGTAGTAAGTAACAAGCAACAAGTTAAAATACATTTAAAAATAAGCCAAAATCTCATTATACCATTTGTTTGTCTTATGATATTTGAGAGAATGATACGGTGCTGAGTAATCTGTAAAGGGAAGCCATTTGTCTCATAAACTAGAATTACACTTACCCGAAGTAGATTCAATGGTTGAAATACGATCAGCTATTTTGTCCATGGTGAAAAATTCCCAAATTTTTACATACCATTCTACAATTGAAGGAACACTTCTTCCAGTGAGAGGCTAATAGAAATTTTGCAACTGTAATCAGAATTATAATTCGCTCTTGCCGTATTTTAGGTATTGCCAGATTTTGGCACAAATTCAAAAGAATCAGTTCAGAACTGTTAGGTATCTTATGATAAGCCGTATATGATGTACAATGTGGTCCCAATTTTTATTTTATTTTTTTACTATTTCCACAAGTTTTCCAACACTTAGGGAAAATACTTTTATTACCTTTATGTAGTAAAGAGGGTGTGAGATACCACTGGGTGAGCACTTTGTATGATATTAATTGTATTTGAGAGGATTTGGAAGTGTATGCTGTTGAGGACCATACTGCCTCCCATTGAGAAGAAGTTGAATCGGCTTTGCAATCTTTTTTCCAAGCAAGTTGGTATGACATAGGTTTGAACTAGAGTTGCCAACCTCCAGGTGGGGCCTGGGGATCTCCCGCTTTTACAACTGATCTCCAGCTGACAGAGATCAGCTCCCCTGGAGAAAATGGCTGCTCTGAAGGGTGGACTCTATGGCATTGTACCGTGCTGAGGCCCCTCCCCTCCCCAAACCCCGCCCTCTCCAGGCTCCACCCCCAAAGTCTCCAGATATTTTCCAACCTAGACCTGGCAACCCTAGTTTGAACCCTTGCCATGTCATTAGCATATTGTAGATTTTTGCAATTAACCCTTTTTGGGGACATGTATCTGTAGCCAATAAAACTTCAAATTTTGTCAGATCTCTGTTCGTTTTATTCTTAAAATTAGATTATTCTACTAGGTGTTTTATTTGTAAGTATTCATACCAAGGGAACTGCGCTTTACCTTCTCTTTCAAGGGAAAGTTTATCCAAAACATTTCCATTTTTAAGTATATACATGAATCTTGTCAGTTTAGACTCCCTCTATCCAGTAAAGGATTTACGGTCTCTTCCCGGGAGGAACCAACATTGCCCCATAAAGCTAGCAGTAGGTGATAGGAATGGTGCTTTGCAATATTTTCCCCAGATTTTACTAAGTCTATATTTAAAGCAATTATGTTTAGAAATCTTAGACCCAAGTTTTGAATTGGACCATAAAAATTCTGAGAAAGAATGTGGCATGATACCTTGCTCTTCTATATATTCCGATCTACTTTGATAGACTGATTATATAAAGGAGTTAATGTTGAAAGATCTGGAAAGCATACCATTCGGGCCTGCATGACTAAGGTGGTGTAATATGTAAATAAACATGTTGAGTCCCTTCATTAAAGGCTGGGACCAGTTCTTGGGAGACCCAGTGGAGCTAAGCTGCTCCCTACAACAAATAGAACACCATTTCGAGCACCCAGGCCCACTCTGCATGTTGAGGGCAATTGTGCTATGTGATGGAAATAGGCCTACCATTTGCCCATTTATGGTGGGAGTCCTCCAGGGACAGCTCCGGTTGCCCACTGATGCCCAGCTGGTTGGCAGGTGGAAACAGGCCAGCCAAACATGGGGGGGGGGGTGCGATCATCATACCCATGTGATGTAACTTTCAGTACAAACCAAAAGAGGTGGTGTTGCACCACGGGCAACACTTGGCCTGAAACTCCATGGAAACCACAGAGTTTGGGGGTGAGTGCTAGACCACTGCCCTAGCACAACATCACCACTTCTGGGTCCTGCCGGAAGCAGCATCATTGTGCAACATTGATGATCCCAAGCCCCTCCCCCAGTAAGTTCCCACCTTCTCCCATTTCCCGCCATACACCAGCCCATACCTGCCAACCCTAGATGGAAACAGTATCACAAGAATGAGCTATCGGCAAGCACGCAGTCATTCGAGAACACTCTCTTCAGAACTTTGTCGCTCGTGCCGTTCTTCATAGTCTCAGATCTGCCATCTGGACTAGCAAAGACATTTCAAACGGCTTCCAGACGTCAGATACATTGAACTGGCACATCTTTTTTAAAAAGTCTCCTTGAAACATCTGGATGGAAATTTTCATGTCACATAATGGTGCTCAGTTCTATAGTTCTCTTTGGGTGTTGGTTAAAAGAGGGGGGGAAGCAACCAAATTTTTCTTTCTCATGCTCGAACTGTGATCCTGTGCATTCATTCACACATTTCGTTCCTGGGACTCACTTTGCAAATGAGGGTCTTGGATCCTCAGCTGCTGGTTTCAGAAGGCTCAAGGCTCAGCAGCTTTTGCCCGAACGTTCTCAGCATCTTCCATGATGTCGTTCAGGAAGCTCTTCAGCACGTAGAATGTGGTGACGAAGGAACTAACCCCTCCAACCAGAGAGCCCAAAGCTGGTACAAAATCAAAGGCCATCTCTAACACCGTCAGGGTCCCACACGCCAATGGCTTGGTCAAGAGACCGGTTACAAATTCTGGAGTGATCTCACTGGACATTGGAGACTTTTTGATAGCAGATTTCAACACTTCATAATCTTTGCCGACCTGTTTTGCAACTCTGTGGAGGGAATCTTCATTCAACCCAAAGGCATTGTAAATAGCGAGCAGCGCTCCTACCAAGATGCTAAGATCACAGGCAAAAGAAAGTCCTGGGACAGGAACTACCCCAATAGCACAAGACACAAGGGCTACTTTCCATATATGGGCCTCCATAGCAGCCTTCTTCTTTTCCAGGATTTCTCTTGAGAAAACTGGCAAAGCCAGAATGAATGCATGCCTCTTGAGACCGTCTAGTTCCATTTCCAAGGTCTCTTGCAAGAGAGGGAAATCGTACATATTCAAGTGCCACCTGGAAACGAGGAAAACCCTTGGAGAAGGCTCTCCTGCCTCTCTCAGATTCTCACAGCAATAGTTCTTTATCTTCTCAAGGGTTTTGTCCTCACTGAAGTTGGGTCTCCTTCTCTCGGAATCCATACAGAGATCCATCTTGGAGCGCACGTAATAATACTTCTTCTGCATTTTCTTAATTTCTTGGGCCAGGAGGGCGTCGTTCTCACTGAACCGTTCTGCGGCAACAATGATGAAGAAATCATATTGGCTAAAATTGACCTTCTCTAGGTAATTCTCTGGTGTAAATTCAGGTGTCCCGATTCCTGGTAGGTCCCACAAAGTTACATTGGGAAATGAGGGATGAGGATACCCATGGACATCCATAGTTGTCTGCGTCACTCCAGTCTGGGCTGCACCTTCTTCATAATCAGTCATGCCCCTCATCGCGTTAACAAGGGATGATTTACCAACACCTGACAACCCTGTGATTGCGATGTCGAGCTTGGCATTTTCCAATGCACCCCATTCTTGACGAGCTTCGTCTGCCACCTCTTCGAGGCTTCTTTGTGCCATAGCGTCCTTCAGCCCTAAGATGTATTTTGAGAAGAAAGCACCAATTCCAGTCATTCCTGATGCTGCAGTTGACCTAGAAAGGAAAGCAAACATTTATTCAGGACATCCCTATGCCATCTTCATAACTGTAACAGTATTTGTGGTTATAGGCTTTACTTTATCTGATGTACACTACATGAATTTATTTGGCGAGAACCAGTCCTCCAATCATTTGGAAGCCAATATGGCCTTTGTTCTTGGGAGATAGTAGAGAAACTAAGTAATTTTTCAAGAAGCTATCATTAGTACAAAATATACCTTGACGTGACTTGATTTATTAGATTTGCATCCCGCTCTCCCTGTGTCCAGGCTCAGAGTCGGTAACATCTCAATACATTGTACAATAAATACAGTAAAATACCTAATCATATACAATAAATTAAATTACATTATAAACTAACAGTATAATTAAAAGATGGCATAAAACTCAGAGGGGAATGGTGCATAATCTGTCTGGCATAAAAGGGGAAGAAGAAAAAGGGGAGAGAAGAGGAGGCCAATTGAAGATGGAACCCGTCGCTTTCCTCAACCATAGGCCCGCCCAGTGGAACAACTCTATTTTACAGGCCCTGCAGAGTGCCCCACAGAGCCCAGATCTCAGCTGGAAGAGTGTCCACAGGGCCAGAGCCTTAGGCTAGAGCTCACCAGCACGTTTTAATAATTAGAGTGTAGTACTCTCTGGGGGGTATACCAGGAGAGGCGATCCCGAAGGTATGCTGGTCCGAGACCGTTTAGGGCTTTGAAGCTTAACACCAAGACCTTCAATCTGATCTGGTCTTCAATCTGGAGCCAGTGCAGCTGGTAGAGGACCGGTTGAATATGTGCTCTAATGGGCTTTCCCTGAGCACCTGCGCAACTGCATTCTGGACCAGTTGCAATTTCCAAGTCAGCCTCAAGGGTAGCCCTGCATAGAGCAAGTTACAGTAATCCAATCTGGAGGTGACCGTTGCATGGATCAGGGGGGGGGGGGCGGGACCAACTGCTCAACCCGGCATAGGTGGTAAAATGCCAGCTTCACGACATTTGTAACCTGGGCCTCCATTGACAAAGAAGCATCCAGGAACACATCCAGGCTACTGATGGTCACTCCAGATGTTAACGCAGTGGTTCTCAACCTTCCTAATGCCGCGCCCCTTTAATACAGTTCCTCATGTTGTGGTGACCCCCAACCATAAAATTATTTTCGTTGCTACTTCATAACTGTAATTTTGCTACTGTTATGAATCGCAATGTAAATATTTGATATGCAGGATTTGGCGAGACTTGGGAGCCCTATTCTAAGACCATCGAAAATTTGTGTTTTCCAATGGTCTTAGGTGACCCCTGTGAAAGGGTCGTTCGACCCCCAAAGGGGTCGCGACCCACAGGTTGAGAACCGCTGTGTTAACGGAACACTGTCAAGAGCTGGGAGTTAGCATCACGCTCCTGCATCCCCCCCGGCCCAGCCACAGGACCTCCATCCTCTATGGATTTAACTTCAGCTGGCTCTTTTTTAACCATCCAACCAAGGCCTCCAGACCCCTGTCCAAAATCTCAGGGGCGGTGTTCAGCCAGCCACTCATCCACAGATACAGCTCAGTGTCATCAGCATCCCGACGAGTTTCATGAGTTTGCTTCCCTGGACAACTCTCTTGTGCATGCAAAATCATATCACTGACATACACCCCACCTCCCAACGGTCTGACTCGGTTTCCCCTTCTGCCCCTCCCTGACTAAGGTGCAAGCCTCACTAGTAAAGCACAACTTCACAAGACTACATTCTGGGTCTCCTTTTTCTTCCCAGAATAGGAATCCTAAGACCCCATAAATTAAAGACTAACCCATCTCCACTTTGGAAAGGGACAGACTCCGAGACCTGCCAAGCTTCCCATGACTTGCCTAAATCTCCCACCCCACAGCTTATTGGCTCAAAAAGGGTGATAGTGGAACACTTTCATAGAACACTGCTATGGTGTACAGCTGGTGATGAGCAATCATAGAATCATAGAGTTGGAAGGGACCTCCAGGGTCTTCTAGTCCAATCCCCTGCACAATGTAGGAAATTCACAAATACCTCCCCCCACACACCCTCATTAACCCTTGTTCCATGCCCAGAAGATGCCCCCCCCAAAAAAAAACCCTTCCGTATCCCCGGCCAAACTGGCCTGGAGAAAAATTGCTTCCAGACCCCAAAGTGGCAATCAGCATCCCCCTGGGCGTGTAAGAAAGGGCCACAAGAACTAAGCGCTGATGCAACCCTTCCTGCCCTCCCTCTCATGATCTGCCTAAGTGCACAGAATCAGCATTGCTGTCAGATGGCCATCTAACTGGCAGGAAGTTCTTTCTAATGTTTAGCCGAAAACTCTTTTGATTTCATTTCAACCCGTTGGTTCTGGTCCGACCTTCTGGGGCAACAGAAAGCAACTTCACACCAACCTCTGCATGACAGCCATTCAAGTACTTAAAAATGGTTATCATATCACCTCTCAGTCTTCTCCTCTCCAGGCTAAACATACCCAGCTCCTTCAACCTTTCCTCATAGGACTTGGTCTCCAGACCCCTCACCATCTTTGTTGCCCTCCTCTGGACACCTTCCAACTTGTCTATAGCCTTCATAAATTGTGGTGCCTAAAACTGAACACAATACTCTAGGTGAGATCTAACCAGAGCAGAGTAAAGTGATACCATCACTTTGCATGATCTGGACAGTATACTAATCGAGTGCATTGCTCTTCTGTGGTTGGAGCAGGAGGCGCATGGAGACACAATCTGCAAAGCATCACCGAAGGGGCCACAAAAGACCATACAAAGGGGAAAAGAAAGGCTAACTGGATTGGATTGTCAACCAAACAGGAAACCAATTTATGGAGTTCCTGGAGGGTTTTCCAGGAAAGAGACGTTCAGAGGTAGTTGCCATTGCCTGCCTCAGTGTAACAAACCTAGACTTCCTTGGTGGTCTCCCATCCAAGTACTAACCAGGGCCAACCCTGCTTAGCTTCTGATATACAATGAGAAGGAGCTTGCCTGGACCATCCAGGTCAGGGCCCCCAACCACATTACAAATCAGCCAACAAAATATTGTTGTGCCTTAGCTAGACCCTACATACCTTTTGTCTTCCTCCTGTTGTTCCTCCTCTTCTGCTGTTAAGGCACGTCTCTTGAGATCGTCAATTTCATTCTCCAAGGTCTTTTTCAGGAGGGGGAAATCGTACTTTTCCCAGTACCAACTGGAGACGAGGAAAATCTCTGGAGAAGAAATACCAGCCCCCACCAAATTATCCAGGCAATAATCCCTGATTTTTTGAAGGGTTGCTTCCTCATTGAAGTCTGGCTTTGTTTTTTCGTTCTTAATACTGGTGTCTATTTTGGAGCGCACATAGTAGAACTGCTTCCCCAGTTCCTGAATGGCACAAGACAGCTCGAAGTCATGCAAGGTGAAGCGCTCAGAGGCGACAAGGATGAAGAAGTCATACCGGCTGTAATTTACCCTTTGTAGGTATTTCTCCGCACTGAACTCAAGTGTTCCAGTTCCTGGCAGGTCCCATAATGTTATATTTGGAAACACAGGGAATGGATAACCCTGTGGATCATCTGTGACATGTCCCACATCAATTTCAGCTGCACCCTCATCAAAATCTGACAGACCCCGCAGAGCGTTGATGAGGGACGATTTACCAGCACCCTTCACCCCTGTGACGGCAATGTCAATTGTAGCTGTCTCCGTGTTCAATCCATTATTTTCATTTTCCAACTCTACAAAATCTTCCTCTTCATATGCATGACTTGCCACTGGGGCTGAACTTCCACCACCCATGGTTGCTTTTCAGTTGACCTAAGAAATAAACACAAACATTGTGATTCGTCACTTCTGCAAGATTTTCCTTTGATATCCCGGGTGTAGGTGTTTCTTGGGAGATCAGTTTACTTAGGGTCTTCCTCTATGGATGTAGAGATAGCCCAGTGACTTCCAGGGAACATGGTGACCTGATAAGGAGCACTTTCAAAAGTTCCAGTCCTTTCTTGCTGTGGGGTGAGCACCAGGAAAGGAGGGAATTTCTGTCCTTACCTCTTCCCTACAGGGAAGACCTAACTGACAAGTTAACCCACGGAGAGGGGCTTGATAGGTTTCTACGTGGGTTCTTGAAATATTAAGGGCAGTTGAGATGAGAGCTTTTTGCCGATATGATCAGGCTGGGGCAAGTGATGCACTGTATTCTTGTGCTGGGGGGGGGCAGTGGGAGGGGTTCTAGTGTCCTGGCCCCCACTGTTGGACCTCCTGATGACACCAGTTTGGCTCCTAGAGATGTACTTTGATCCACGGTATGCCAGCAAGGACAAAGGAAGGCTCAGAACCATTGCAAAGGGAAGAGGGGTGGCTCTGTGGCAAAGCACCTCTTTTGCATGCAGACGTTCCCAGATATGGTTCCTGGCAAGCTCTTCTCAGGTAGCAGAGGTCACAGAAGGCCACCACCTTTCAGTCACCCCAAAGAACTGTTGCCAGTATTAACAATACCAATAGTGTGAGTTCGCATAAGGCAACTTCAAACATTACATTGGATTTTGCAGGCAAACACACAGCGCACAGGTCCTAAAATGGGTATTTGAGTCCAGTAACGCCTTAGAGACCAGGAAGGTTTCCAGGGTATAAGCTTCCGAGGATGAAAACTCCCTCCAGCCCTCAAAAGGTTATACCCTGGACATCTTAATGTTCTCCAAGGTGCTACTGAAATCTTGCTCTTCTATTGCAGACCAGCATAGCCACCCACCTGAAACAATCAAAATGGGTATTTGTCATTCAAACGACATTGGTAAAACAACAGAGGGAATGCAGAATCGCTCTCAGTCAAGGAAGACACCCTTTGCAAGACCTGACCAAGGCTGTTAAACAACAGGACGTTGGGCAGGACATCAATTCATGGGGTTAAGAACATAAGAACATAAGAGACGCCAATGTTGGATCAGGCCAAAGGCCCATCCAGTCCAACACTCTGTGTCACACAGTGGTCAGAAATACCAGGTGCCATCAGGAGGTCCACCAGTGGGGCCAGAGGACACTAGAAGCCCCTCCCACTGTTGACCCCCCCCAAGCACCAAGATGACAGAGCATCACTTGCCCCAGAGTCCCTATCTATACCTTGTGGCTAATAGCCACTGATGGACCTCTGCTCCATATGCCTATCTAATTCCCTTTTGAAGCTGTCCATGCTTGTAGCCGCCACCACTTCCTGTGGCATAAGTCAGAAGTGACCGGACTGGACTTAACACACACACACACACAATTCTTCCTGTGTGTGCCAAAGGCACAAAGAACTTTGATTCTCAAAAGGGTATCTCTTTGTCCAGTATGGATATAGCCTTACAACTCTAAGAAAAGTTCGTAAAATATACTGTGTTTAAAACAACAACAACAGCAACAACCTTGAATAAATACACCAGACCGTGGGCATTTAAAGATGATCTCTCTGCCTCCTACTCCTGTCTTGAAACAACACGCCCGTTCAAAGATACATCCGAATTGTTGCTGGGTTTTACAGAGTCAAAGGGAAAGACACCCCCGCCCCTCGAAATGTTTATACTTTATACACTTCTAAGATCTACTTCCTGTTCTTCATCCCAAAGGCAATGCAAACCTCAGTGGGGCCTTTTCATCAATCAGACCCTGAAAGACTCTCCCCCCCCCCTCCCCTTTTGGATTTCCTGAGTATCTAACTTTTTTAAAAGCCCAGGCTGGATTCAAAAGCTTGCTCCTTGCTCTGTGATTTTGCTTTTTTAAGCCGGGCATCAAGAAAAGACGTTAACCCTTCCGCTCCCTTTCTAACCCTCCCGAGACAACAGGCCACAACTTATCTGCCTGTTGAAAGGAGAATCGGCTTTCCACGGCAGCCCTTCCAAGCCCAGGGAGGCGATTTCCACAGGGGAGAATACCTGGGCGAAGGCTGAACGCTCAATATGAAGCAGCAGCCGCGGAAGGCGAAGAGAAGCGAGCAAGATCGGCTTACCAGCCCAATTTGCCTGGAGAATCTGGGGGAGCCCGCAGATTCAGGGGGTGGGCAGTGGGTTTGGGGGTGGGAGAAGCTCTCCTCTCCCTCCCCACTTGCCAAAGCCCCTCTTGCTTTTCCTGCGCGTCTTGGTAGAAGTAAGAGCCAAAGGTAGCCTGAGAGCGAAAGCGAAAGTAACTGTGTTTGTTTTAGGGAGGAGAAAGGGAGGGACTTTAGCAGCAAGGGGGAGTGCTTGGAGCGGCTAACTAAGATCTGGGGGGGATCTGAGGTTCGAATCTACTGTTGGAGCTCTCTGGGCGACCTTCAGCCACTCGCGGGCTGGTAGCCGAGCCTTCCCCACAGGGTTGCTGTTCAGGATAAAACAGGGGACAATGAAGACAGCATCAGCTACTTTGGACTTCATGGGGGAAATAGATGTATGTTTGTTTTTTTAATGATGACAACCATTCCGTTCACAGGAGACTCGCTCAACTGCCAGTCTTGATTTTTGTTTGGGGTAGGGTTGCCAGCAATGCTCCCTCTAAGCTGTGGAATCTTGTGAGCAAAAATGAGCTCCTGGCATGAAAGTTGGGAGGGATCGATTTGGTTACTGCTAAATTAATTTGCTCTGGAGCCATCCCCTTCCTGAGCTGAGACAAAAATGTGTGAGCCGGAGGCTAAAAACCTGTGAGCTAGCTCACACTAACTCAGCTTAGAGGGAACACTGGTTGCCAGCTCCAGGTTGGGAAATACCTGGAAATTTGGGGGGTGGAGCCTAATAGAGGTGGGGTTTGGGGAGTGGAGAAGGAGCTGCGGTGGCTCAAGTGGTTAAGACACTGAACTGCAGGCTGTGGAAGGTCAGTAGTTCAGCAGTTCAAGACCCGGGTGCCGCATGATGGAGTGAGCTCCCATCTCTAGTTCCAGCTCCTGCCAACCTAGCAGTTTGAAAGCAAGAAACTGCAAGTAGATAAATAGGTACCACTTTGGTGGAAAGGTAACAGCGTTCCGTGCGGCTTGGTGTTTAGTCATGCCGGCCACATGACCACGGAAACGTCTTCGGACAGCGCTGGCTCTTCGGCTTTGAAACTGAGATGAGCACCGCAACCCTTGAGTCGGATTCGACTGGCTTTCGAGCAAGGGAGACCTTTACCTTTACCTTGGGGAGTGGAGGGACTGCACCTTCCAAAGCAGCCGTTTTACCCAGGGGAACTGATCTCGGTCACCTGGAGATCAGTTGTAATAGCAGAAGATCTCCAGCCACCACCTGGAGGCTGGCAACCAGAGTTCCCTCTAAGTTGTGGAGTCTTGTGAGCAAAAATTCTACTTTGGGAGCTACTGGCATTGAAGTTGTGAGCGAGCGATCTGGCTGCTGCCATAAATTAGTTTGCTCTGGAGCCACCCTTCCCGAGCTAAGACAAAAATGCGTGAGCCGGAAACTAAAAAACTATGAGCTAGCTCACACTAACTCAGCTTAGTGGGAACAGTGCTGGCAACCCTAGTTTGGAGGGTTTGGGGGGGGGCTATCCCAAGGGGGAAACATCACATCCTTTGTGGCAGTCAAGGGTCCAAAGAATCAATATGTTGTGGAAGGCTTGACATAGAGTATTCCATCTTTCTGTGTTTATACCTCTGAGGATGCCAGTCACAGTTACTGGCGAAACGTCAGGTTCTACAATGCCAAGACCACGGCCACACATCCCGGAAAATCTACAGGTCCAAAGAATCAGTGGGGAAGAAGAAAGGTGCCCCTATGTTTGAGCCCCACTCCGGGAGTGAGGTCCCCTCCAAAAAAGAAATTGAATCAAGAAGACTGATTGGGTTATTTCCCCCCTCCTTTTCCCTTCTTCTTTAGTAGTGAGGTCCTCCTCTCCAATAGGAGCAGTGATATTATTTTTAAATAGTCATTTTATCATCCACCCCCTCCCTCGTGAATCCAGTCGGAAGCCAGTTAGAGCTGGAAAGTGGGACAAAAATACAACCCAGAGAAGCTATATGAATACATGGGTTCTCAAAGAGGGAGGCAACAGATGCTTATTTAGGGAGTAAAATATCATTCTGGCTGCTGTATTTCATCACGTGCTGAATTTTGCCACTAATTTGTTCGCCAAATTGCCTTGAATTATTAATAAATTATTAATAAATGTGGGGGATCATGATTATTAAAATGGCAATAGACAATAGGCCTATAAAGGAACAATAACCTTTGTTATTGTTATTGAACTCGTGGGCACTCCATGAAATTGCTGAGCGGTTGGGTTAGAACGGATAAAAGGAAGTACTTCTTCACCCAAAGAGTGATTAACACATGGAATTCACTGCCACAGGAAGTGGTGGCGGCTACAAGCATGGACTGCTTCAAAAGGGAATTAGATAGGCATATGGAGCAGAGGTCCATCAGTGACTATTAGCCACAAGGTATAGATAGGGGCTCTGGGGCAAGTAATACTCTGTCTTCTTGGTGCTTGGGGAGGCCAACAGTGGGAGGGCTTCTAATGTCCTGGCCCCACTGGTGGACCTCCTGATGGCACCTGGTATTTTTGGCCACTGTGTGACAGAGTGTTGGACTAGATGGGCCTTTGGCCTGATCCAACATTGGCTTCTCTTATGTTCTTATGTTATATTCTTATGTTTGTGTACAGGAGTCCCGCTTTTAATCCAGTAACCCAGAAATAGACGCAGAATCCAAATCTCAAAGAAATTATTTCTTTACTGAGAAGTCTTCACAAGCGTACAATAAATTCAAGCACACACACACACAAAATTCAAGCATACACACAATTACACAGAACTAAGAAATATCGACGGAAAGGCGGGCAGGGGGGACCTTTGGAATACAGGAAATGGAGCACCTGGGTAAAGGGAAACAAGACTCCGCCTCCCCCATTTCTCCCACAGTAGCCACTTCCGCACTGTCACTTTGGTCACTCCTTTTTCCCCACTGCTTTGGGACCCCCCCCCCTTTCCACACAGTGTTGCCATCTCTGAGTTGGGAAATACCTGAAGATTTGGGGGTGGAGCCTGGGGAGGGCGGGGTTTGGGGAGGGGAGGGATTTCATCAGGGTACAAGGCCACACAGTCCACCCTCCAAAGCAACCATTTTCTCCAGAGGAACTGATCTCGGTCACCTGGAGATTAATTTAATAGCAGGGGATCTCCAGGTGCGACCTGGAGGTTGGCAACACTATCCATGCCATCATAAATTAGCTTCCCAATGGGTTCCTGCTCATCCCCAAACCCTGCCCTCCCCGTGTTCTGCTCCCCAAGGGGCCTCAACAGGGTACAGTGCCACAGAGTCCACCCTCCAAAGCAGCCATTTTCTCCAGGGGAGCTGATCTCTGTCAGCTGGAGATCAGTTGTAAAAGCGGGAGCTCTCCCATCTGGAGGTGAGCAACCCTGTTTCCCCATGTGTTTTGCTCCCTCTGGGACTACTAAAGAGAGCGAAACACATTGGGGGCAGGGGGTGGGGGAACCCTGAAGCAATAGGGGCAAACAAGTGACAAAAATGACGGCGCGGAAGTGGCCGATATTATCATTTTTAACCTGGTCAGCTTCCGATATAAGGAATTATCCAGGCTGGGTCACCCACGGGGGGGGGGATAAGAGGACAGAGGGTTTTGAACACTTGAAGCTGCCCTATACTGAATCAGACCCTTGGTCCATCAAAGTCGGTATTGTCTACTCAGACGGGCGCGGCCGCAGCTCCCCAGGGTCTCAGGTTGAGGTCTTGCACATCACCTACTGCCTGGTCCTTTTAACTGGAGATGCCAGGGATCGAACCTGGACCTTACTGCATGCCAAGCAGATGCTCTACCACTGAGCCGCCACCCTTTTGCTTGCCTCATTTAGTCCCTCTAGAAAGCACCCTTTCTATGCACAGGACTGGGTAGAGGGGCAAATGAAGTAGGATTACCAGCTCTGGGTTGGGAGATTCCTGGAGATTCGGGGGGCAACCTGGGGAGGGTACAGAGCTTTGAGTCCACATGGTACAGAGCTTTGAGTCCACCTTCCACAGTAGCCATTTGCTCCAGGGGATCTGTTAAGTCGGCTACTTAACAAAGAGTCAGAGAGTGATTTCAGCAAAAGATCAGCTTTATTCAGCAACTCGTAACTCAGCTCCAAACAGATCAACACGAATAGCCAGAACAGCTTTTTGCATTGAAGCTGTTCCGCTTTTAAACCCTCCCGGCTAATGTAGCCACGCCCTAGTGTACATTATCAACCTATGAGACTGTAGAGATAAGGTCCAATCACAATAGTTCCCGCTTCTGGAACTAGACGTTGATGATTGGTCGGCTCTTCCTGGGCTACCAATTACATTTGAGGGATTAGGATCCTAGCCCAGGATGAAAGCTTCACATGGGGATTCAATGAGTGAGTTCACATACGTACATTGTCAGTCTGAATACACCACAGGATCTGATCTCTGAAGCCTGAATTCCCATTGTATTGCTGGGGGGGGGGGGGGGTCTCCAGCCGCCACCTGGAGGCTGACAACCCTAAAGATAGGAACCAATGCTCCAGTAGTCAGCCTACCTTTGTGAGGTGGGGTTGCCCCATTTCCAGACGGAGTTTCGAAGTGAAGGAATAGGAACCCATAAAGTTTTTCACAGCCGAAAGCTTGTTGGGCTGGATGGACTCATTAGTGTTGTTGCCAGCCTCCAGGTGGGGCCTGGCACTCTCTCGGAATGACACTTCACCTCTCCGGAAAACAGAGATCAGTATCCCTGGAGAAAAAAGGCCCTTTGGAGAGCGGACCCTATGGCATTGGGTTGCCAGCTCCGGGTTGGGAAATACCTGGAGATTTGGGGGGGGGTGGAGCTGGGGAAGGGCGAGTTTGGGGAGGGCAGGGTTTCATCAGGGTCCAATTCCACACAGTCCACCCTCCAAAGCAACCATTTTCTCCAGAGGAAATTGATCTCGGTCACCTGGAGAATAATTTAATAGCGAGGGATCTCCAGGTGCGACCTGGAAGTTGGCAACCCTATCTATGCCATCAGCAATTAGCTCCCCGATGAGCTCCTGCTTGTCCCCAAACCCCGCCCTCCCCATGCTCTGCCCCCGAATCTACAGGAATTTCCCAAGGCAGAAATGTCCACCTAACTTAGGGGGGGGGAACGTGCAGATCTGTCCTCACAGAGGAGAGAG